TTGGTTGCGCATTCGCATGATTACCTCACATGTTAGTGGATAGGTTTAAAATCAATTCAAGTTGCCTGTAAATATTTTTTAAAATAAAAGAGAAAAGGTACCAAAAGGGCATTACAGTAATCTAGTGTAACCAAGTCCTCGAATCCATAATCTCTGGTTCGTAGCAGTAAAGTAATTCTTCCGAAACTTTACTTGGGTTTCTAGTTAACCCAAAAAAAAAAGATTAGTGGCGACTCCTTATTGAAATTATTTGCATGTTAAGAACTTAAACCTTAAATCGCAAATTGGTAAGGGCTTGGGAGAGTCCGAGTTAGGCCTATACCTAAAAATCCATTAGCCGAACCCCTAGGTGGTGCACCACCCGCGGGAGGTTAGGTCACGACATTCAGCATCATCAATGTTCATTCAAGCTAAGGTACAATTCGGTTATAACTTGCTTCGATGGGTCAAAGAATGAAGTTGTCAATGAGGAGACTATCAACCAAGTTATCGATTAAAGGAATTGTCGATTCTTGACTTAGCCGATTCAGAATCGTTTCACCAAAATTAGTTGCTGATTTCAAGGTGGATCGATAACATATCGATGGGAGGTTGTTCCAAGCAATTTCCTATAGCATTTGCTGATTTTTTTAGGTGGTTATCCTCTGGTTAAAGATGGTGGACGAATTTTGGAAGGTAAACCGTAAGGCTAAAGAGTCAATATTTCAAGTCTCTATGCATTTATTGCACTTCATAGTTCCTATGTGTCATCAACCAATTTTCTAAGTTTCTAGGCCTTTATGAGTCGTAATTGTTATGTGAGTTTCAAGAGTCAAAGTCCTAAGTTCCTAGGTATTTAATTACTTTCTAGTTCTCGAGTCCTTAAGTGTTTGAGGAGTTCCCATGTCTCTTCAATGGTTGTCTATTTTCTAAGTCTTAGCCCCTAGAGTGTTCTCAATTGTAACGCAAACTAGACTTCGATGAATGAGAATATATGAGATTTTTCTCTGTTTGAGCGAATATCTTTGGAGAGTGGATAACTCCTATATCTGGGAAAATATTTTCCAAATGGAGAATATTTTCCGCCAAACGAACGGAGCCTAAGAGTGGATTAGTCCTCGGTGGAGAGCCAAGAAGCGCTTTATCCTCGGCTGGTGATTTCCCTTTAGGCTCGGGTGGTGAGTTTCTCCTATCTCGAAGTCTTATATCCTTGGCGAGTGGCTTATCCTTTAAGCCTCAGTGGTCACCTTCGTCGATTCTGATCCTCATCCTCGGTTGGCGGCGCGTCCTTTATACCTTGGTGGCAATCGTAATCTATCATGCGTTCGTGCATTATCCATTGACATCCATTCCACACACACCCATCCATACACAAAACCTAGAAAATACCCCATTTCCAAAATCACTCACCCATGCACGCATCACCACGTCTAGCAGCAGATTGTCTAGTGCTTTTGCAAGTGGGCTCGTTTATTTGTTTGCAAGTTTCCTAAGAAATAATGGATAGTATTACGCTGCCTTTAAATTTTATAAGTAGGCTCGGTTATTTTGTTTTTTTGGTCGGAAGTAGGCTCGGTTATTTATTAGTAAGTTACCAACAACATTATTTTTTTGTTATCAGACCAACAACATAATTTTAAACGACCATGAATTGCAGTAGTAAAGTTGGTTAGTCAATAGTAAGGTACCGACAAAACTTTGTTTTTACCAAGTTGATACTTTACCAATTGAATTGAACATTGGTAAATTCCCTATATGATTAGTAACTTAACTCACGGAACACAGTTCCTTTATTGGGCGAAGGAAATAATTAGATTTATTCCTCTTTAAAAGGCTAAATGTCCTTTTAGCCATGAATTCTTTGACTTGGATCATCTGCTTGTTTTATTGACTGTAGATGGATGGATGGATGAATATAAAAGATTTATAAGTCCTCGATTATTTCGAGTCACATAATCCGATACCAGTTGGGACATGGAACATTTTTATTCTCGTGTTCGTCAGGATTCACTCGAAGTTGGGTCGTGCATATAAAATGTTAACCCATTGCTTCAAGAAAGCAAACTAAATCAGGCATGCCGTTGTGTTTATCGTCTCCTCAAGCTGCCCCCCTGTGGCGATCGATTGCATTATAAGTACCTCAAAGAAGTCTGCGAGTCTTTTATAACTTATTATTGCGTTTAATCATCTCTCTCAAAGATGAAAAGCCAAAGCAAAACCCTAGTTTTCTCTGCTCTTCTCATATGTCTTCTTCTCGTCACATCCTTGCATATGGCATCCACTATGCCCGGAGAAGTTTGTAAACACTCATAAAACAATGTATAATCTTGTCCTATCTTCACATTGTTGTTTCCTTTAGGGTCTCTATAATATGGTGGTTTGGACACCGTGTATGTTTGTTTGTTTGTTTTTTGGTCGAATGTTTGTTTAATTATTACGGAGCAATGTGCAGAGGATGAGAGAGAGAGTTCGATTACATCGTGGGGGGCAAGAAGGGACCCACGAACTGGGGAGAGATCCTGGAAGAATGGGAAGCATGTGGTGAAGGGGAAATGCAGTCACCAATTGACTTGTCGAGCGAGAGGGTCAGGGAGATTCCCAAAATTGGGGACATAGAGGGGAGTTACAGGCCTAGTAATGCATCGGTCAAGAACTGAGGCCACAACATTCGGGTGAGACTGCAACCATGTCTATGGAGGATTTTATTGATGAGTGTGCTAAAACAGTTTCAAAAGTGCGAGAAACGATGATTTATATATTGGGTGTTTCTTGAAAACTATTAACTCCTCGATCATAGTATATGAATACTTGTTTAATGCGACTTACTTTTGATCTTCCGTGATGTTGAGTAAGGCAGAGCATGCGCCGGTCCAGGCGGGCTTTTCCTTGTTAATACTTAAAAGTTTCGGCACTTCAAATAAAACCATAGAACAACAACGACTGCACTATAGACACTTAATTAGCTACCCTCTTTACCTCTCAATTGGTAGGTTGCGGCTTCAGGAGATTTTTAATTCAGCAACCGGAGGCCATTTGTTCAAACCACACCCCTGCATGCAAATTATTTTGGGTCATTGTCACTTGACTTGCTTTAGACCTAAACTTAATTGGTTCATGCGATTTGCAAAATGTTTCATGAGCCTCTATATAATGGAGCATGCACGTCACTTGTTGAGACTTCTTCACCGAGGAAGCCCAAGTGTCACCCATGAGTCGAAACACCAGGCCAGCCTTTTCACAATCGATCGTTCTCAAGGACAGTATGACGAATCACATCATCATTACTAATTGCCCCATCCCCAATTTAGGTCAAGCAATCAGTCTCTTTAGTGAGACATACAAATCACTTAAGCCAAAAAATTGGTTTCGATTTGCCATGGCCATAATAAAAAAAGCAGTATCGGCTCCCAACTGATTTGTAGGCAAACCTTGCCTCAGAGATTCTCTAAGATAATAGTCATCCCATCCCCGGATTCCTAGTCTAACACCCTAATCCCACTTTTACAACCTAGTTGTATCAATTCTTTTGCATCTCCTACACTTCACCCGATACCACGAAGGCTCACTTTTCATCGACGTGGGTATGGGGGGAATAAGACCGTGAAAATCTTCCCCACCAATTTCCACAGAGAACTCATTTCAAGCTATTATGTTAATTCTTAATGCTTTTCAACCGTCATTGCCACTCCCTTGGGACTTACATGAACGGCAAACGCTTGCCTAGTAGAATAGACCACTCTATTCCATCGGCTATTCCCCTTGATTAAAGTTGTTTGCCAATCTCGAGTCCCTTGTGCTCTCCTTGAGATGTGTGGCACCCCCAATGGCCGAGTCAATTATGCTACCTGGGTAGCACTTTCTTTCGCCTTCTAGGCTAGTCTTGATCTCAACAACTGATGATGGTTTTCTCTTTGGGTTAAAAACAAGACAAATCTTCTCATGGAATTCAATGATACAAATTTTGAAAACTTTCTCTAATACCATTTATCATGGCTTGAGGCAGGCCCAAGTGCCGCCTGATTAGGTAGAACACCAGGCCAGCCTTTCTTCAATAAATTGTTCCTAAGGATAGTATGAGGAATCGCATCACCAAAATCGACTATACCACACCCCATTTAGTTTAATCGAGTCTTTCGAGTGAGACATGCAAATCACTTAAGCCCAACAATTAGTTTTGGTTTGTCATGGCAATCATGAGCAAAGAAATATCGGCTTCTGATCAATTTGCGCATGGGAAGGCTAACCAGCTGAGACATTCCAAACCCAGCACAAGCCTGTTTGGTGCTTGAGGAGTCAAAAAAGCTGGTCAGCCTTCTTTTAATGTATCGGTTTCAAAGACATTATGACAAATCGTATAATCATTATCGACTGAACTTTCCCCTATTTAGCTCGGCATTTGGTCCTCGAGTAAGACATACATATCACGTAAGCCTGACGAATGGTTTTGGCTTGCCTTAACCATCATTAGGAGAGCAGCACCACCTATCCATCAGTTTGTGTACCAAGGGCTAACCTCCTTCATAGACACTCTAATATGATAATCAACAAATCTCTGGAATCTAGCATAAAAATCCCGGCACCACTTCTACGACCAATTGTACGTATGTATCGACCCTTGTGCATCTCTCACGTTTCACCCCACTGCTCCGAAGGCCCACTTTTCATCCAACGTGTATGGGAGAAATTTGTCTCGACATGTGCCCGTGCCCTTAGGTTATAGAAAAAACTACCCTCTTAATGATTTCATTTGTTACGTCTTGGAGTCATCAGTAGGCTCAATGTCCTGTCAGTAATAAATTCTCTTGAACTTGCGTTGACTTTTCTGAGCACGTGATAGATTGTGGGATTATTTATCTACGATTACTCTATAGATTAATCAGCCATAGATAAGAGAGACACATGGACAGATTCCTCGCGTCTTAATTATTTGCCGTAGTCGTACGATCTTACCGAACCACTTTGTTCACGTGCATGTCACTATTCACTCGTAGTTGGAATGCATATATAAATGGGGGTTGGGAGGTTTAACTTTGCTTCAACAAAACAAACTGATTTGAGGCATTGCCCTTGTACATCGCGTCTTGTTCGAGTCGGGCGATTATATTCGCTCGCACTGAAATCCTTTTGAGAATAAGGGAAGAACAAAATGAAAAGCCAAAGCAAAACTCTAGTCTTCTCCGCTCTTCTCCCGAGTCTTCTCGCCACGTCCTTGCATGTGGCATCGACCACACTTGTAGACTATGGTAAACACTCCTCTCTCTCTCTCTCTCTCTCTCTCTCTTATGGTGGTTTTGGCTTTTGATTTTGAAGATGTTGTGTGTGTGATTTTGTGGTGCATTAGAGGATGAGAGTGACTTCAATTACATAGTCGGGAGCGAGAGGGAACCAGAGAACTGGGGATATCTGAAGGAAGAATGGAGAGCATGCAGTGAAGGACGGATGCAATCTCCAATTGACTTGGCAAGAGAGAATGTGGAAGTGATTCGAAACTTGGGGGACCAAAGGAGGAATTACAAGCCAACCAATGCCTACGTCATGAATAGAGGCCATGATATTCGGGTAAAATCCGACTAGAATTATGGAGATCCCCCCCTTTTCTTTTTAGTTTTCATCGAACAACATGCTAACGTGAGAAATGTGAGGAACGACAATTCCAAGCCCTGGTTTCCTTAAAAAAGTGTCAAATCCTCAATTTTAACAAGAGCAAATGAGTAGGTATTTGATGCGAATTTTTGTTTTCAACTTTTAATATTTTGTTCCGCAAAAGTATGAATAACATCTTTTTTAAGCCACCTTAAGCAGTTTTCAGAATATTCAAGATTTGAATTGATTGATTTTCTGATTTTTAAAGCGGAGTTTAAACCTTGCCACTCGCCGAGGTGTTCTGTGTCCTATATATGCATAAATGGATAAGTGGCTCCCAACCGATCAGACTACTGAATAGGAAAACGGATTTTGGAACCACTTCAACTTCCATGTGATTTGGGTTTGCTTCTTTTCTTCTTTTTTTTAACGTTCTCCAACATTTATAATACAGAATGATCAGAAGCTTTAATGAAATCTCATTCTAGACCACATGACTACGGTAAAAGCTAGTACATATTCGTCCTTCGGCTTCATTTAATATGTATTAAGTGTTGAACTAGTGAAGATGAACGGTCTATCCTTGATCAGAAAATGTCAATAGAGAAAGATAATTGAGCAAAACTTTCCTTATATCGATTGCAGCTTCGATGGGACGAGGGAAGGGCAGGGTCGATCAAGATAGACGGTAGAGACTACTTCTTGCAACAATGTCATTGGCACCACCCTTCTGAGCATGCAATCGATGGCAGAAGGTCTCTTTTCTCAATTTCGTATGAACACGAGCATGCTACTTTCAAATCTCAGATGGATTGGTTTCTTTGAATTGTGTTTTACGTACACTGAGACCCAATCACAACTTTCCACCAGTAGTTGCATACGCCAAAAGTGCTGCTGTAACATTTTACGAAGTGTTTGGCAAACTCTTCATGGCTACGTCACATTCACAACTATAGGGATTTTAAGGATAATGTCTTACCCAGCTTTGAGGCATTATAATTTTAAAAAGTATTACGAAATCAAGAAGTCACATCACTTCATAACATAGTAACAATGCAACAAAATTACCACACATAGGAGCTAGGGGATGTAATGTCCTAAAAGCTGCAGTAAGCTGTTTACAGCTGTGAGGGTCTTGCAAATGTGAAAATTTTATCCAAGATCTTAGAAAACTCAACGGCTCGTATTAATGGAGCTAAAAGAAGTATTTGATTACACTAAGTTGATAAATTTTAGAGCTCGATTGTAATATTTGTAAGTTTTACGACTTGATTTCACTTTTGTGATTAATTTTAGAATTCTTGACGCACTTGTCCCATTTTGTGGCTCAATATGTTGATGAACATGAAGAATATGTTTTTGTACACGTTGAAAATAGGTATCCATTGGAGCTTCACATGGTTCACTCAACTTTAGATGCGGAGGTTGCGAACAATGTGGTCGTGAGCTATTTTAGCCTATTTGTTAGGCATTTTTATTATATAGATTTCTTCCTAGTATAGAATCCTTCCTATTGTATATCTCCTAATTAGGGTTGTCATATGTCCTATATATATAACAGGATTGAGCATTGTAAATGTACAGAAACATATTCATTGAATAGAAAAAGGAGAGTTTTTTTCTACATTGTATCAGAGCCCTAGGGTTTGATCCTTGGGGTACTGTACGTCAATCATCGATTACGGCGGTCCCGCTCTTCTTGGGCTCGCTTTCTTTCTCTATTGCGCTGTCTGACATGAGTCTTTCCCGATCTTCTTCATCGCAATTCAGTTTGCGAATCTGATCTCATGGCCGACGAACAGTCGAGTGGTACAACTGACCAAGCAGATGCTAGCGCCTCTGCTATTGCCATTTTGGCAGACCTGACCGCTGCGATGAAGCAGCTCTTGACCCAGCAGGCCGCGCCACCGCGCGTTGAACCTCCTGTTGCACCGATTGCTGTCAAGCTTGATGGCAAAAATTATGGCGTATGATCCCAGGTTGTTGAGATGTATGTCTCGGGCAAAGACAAACTGGATTATTTGAATGGTGATTCTCTTGAGCCCCCTCCTACATATCCATCTTTTAGACAATGGAAGACCGATGATTCTACGGTGAAAGGTTGGCTTATCAATTCTATAGACCCAGCCTTGATACCAAACTTTATTCGGTTTCCTACTGCCAGAGCCGTATGGGATGCTGTGGCAACGACCTTTTTTGATGGATCTGACACCTCCCAAATCTATGATATTAAGAGGCAGGTTTCTCGATTGAAGCAAGGCGGTGGACCCATCGAGAAATATTACAATGATCTTCAAGGGCTCTGGCGTGAGATTGATTTTCGCCGTCCTAATCCTATGCAATGTCCGGCCGATATTCTGAGGTACAATGCCATTGTTCATGAAGATCGAGTTTATACTTTTTTGGATGGTCTCGATGACCGCCTGGATAATGTTCGTGCTGATGTTATGAAGATGGATCCATTTCCCACTATTGAGCAAGCTTATGCCCGAGTCAGGCGAGAGGATATGCGCCAATCTGTCATGCTCTCCACTCCTGTCAAGGTCACCTTTGGTTCCGCCATGGTGTCACAGCGGGGCAGGGGTGATCAGTTAGTGCTTTCTGCCCGGGGACCTCGCCCTAAACCTGGTATGCCAATTCAATCCGAGGGATGCTCTCACTGTGGGAATCCTAAACATATAGCAGCATCTTGTTTTAAACTGCATGGTTATCCGGATTGGTGGGATGATTTTCAGACCAAGAAGAAGAAACAGGGCTCCCAAAAGGGGCGGAATGGAGGGCAAGCCTCCTTAGTGACTAGCGGCTTGTCATTAATTCCCATGGAGCCTGAATCTGCTAATGCCGAATCTCTTGAAGGTAATTGTGGGTTTGTCTTTGCTAATGGACATGGTGATGGTCATCATGGGTGGATAATTGATTCTGGCGCTACAGATCATATGACTCCGGAATCTGGTGATCTTCTTACATCTACTACACCACGTCGAGATCATATTTACAATGCTAATGGATATAGCTTTCCTGTGACGGCTGCTGGGCGTGTGTCTGTCACGCCTTCTCTCTCTCTATCTCATACCTTGCTTGTTCCTTCATTGTCTAATCGTCTGTTATCAGTTGGACAACTTACTAGTGAGTTGAACTGTGTTGTGCTTATGTACCCTGATTTTTGCCTGTTTCAGAACATTCTCACGAAGGAGATTATTGGGCGTGGTACTAAGAGGGAGGGGCTGTATTTCGTGGATGAAATTACTTCTGGACGGACCTATCATTCTCGTGGACAGTTAGCTCAAGAGAAGGAACTTTGGTTATGGCACCGTCGGTTAGGTCACCCATCTTTTGGGTATTTACGGCATTTGTTTCCCAAGTTATTTCATGGTCTATCGAACTCTAGTTTTCAGTGTGATACATGTATTTTGGCAAAGAGCCATCGCACTTGTTTTCCTCCCAGTTTGAATATAAGTTCTGCTCCTTTTTCCTTAATTCATTCTGATGTATGAGGTGCGTCTCCTATTACTACTGTATCTGGGTTTAGATGGTTTATCATCTTTGTTGATGATTGCACACGTATGACTTGGCTATATTTGATGAAACATAAGAATGAGGCTGAAGCTATCTTTCGGACTTTCCACCGTATGATTCAGACTCAGTTTGGGGCCAAACTTCAGGTTCTCAGGTCTGATAATGGTGGCGAATACTTAAGTAAACCTCTTGCAGCTTATTTTCAAGAACATGGTTTGATACATGAAACTTCTTGCCCTCAGACTCCTCAGCAGAATGGTGTTGCTGAGCGCAAGAATCGCCATCTTCTTGAAACCACTCGAGCACTCTTGGAGGGTAGCCATGTTCCCCATCGTTTTTGGGATTCTGCCGTAGTCACAGCTGCTTATTTGTTGAATCGCATGCCTTCCCGCATTCTGAACTATCGCACGCCAATGCAAGCACTTGCTGCCCATGTGTTTCTTCCTTCGGTTCTTACATTGCCTCCTAAGGTGTTTGGGTGTGTCGCTTATGTCCATCTTCACAAAAATCAACAGACCAAACTTGACCCTTGTGCAGTCAAATGTGTGTTTCTTGGTTATGGCCCTTCTCAGAAAGGGTATCGGTGTTATGATCTTGCCGAGAAGCGCATGTATGTCACCATGGATGTAACATTTATTGAGACGGAGTCCTATTTTCCTTCCCCCCAGTGTCCTGTTCAGGGGGAGACTAGTTGTAGAACCAGACATTGGTGGGAGGTAGGAATTGCAGGAGCGACGAATGGGTGCGCACGGCCACGTGATTCTGAGGTTGCTGAGGCTGAAGATTTTGAGCTACTGCCGCATGATTCTGAGGATGCACGACCAGACAACACTGAATTACGGCATGGGTTCGAACAGGTGTCAACGGATGCACAGCTGCAACTGCCAACAGATGCACAACTACAACAGCCCTCCTTGTCTTCGCCCTCTTCGCCCTCTTTAGTACCACTCCAAGCTCCTGAGAATGTACCTGAGGTAAGTACTTCTACTGTACTTGATTCTTTTGAAGATACTGATGTGCTTACTGGTTATAAGCTACCCGATAGACATAATAGGGGTAAACCACCAAATCGATATTCTCCAGATGTAGAGGACCGCCGGTCTCGATATCCTATTGCAGACTATGTGTCTGCCAAGAGGCTGTCCACACCACTACAAGCCTTCGTGTTTACGATTTCCTCAGTTCAAGTTCCAAACAGGGTTGAAAAAGCCATGAAGGATCCGAAATGGCTTCAAGCAATGGAGGCAGAGATGGAGGCGTTGGAGAAAAATCGAACTTGGAAACTTGTGGAACTACCAAAGGATAAAAAGCCGGTTGGATGTAGGTGGGTGTTCACAGTCAAACATAAGGCAGACGGCACTATTGAGAGGTATAAGGCGCGACTGGTAGCTAAAGGGTATACACAGACTTATGGGGTGGATTATCAGGAAACATTCTCTCCAGTTGCAAAGTTAGACACTATAAGAGTGTTGTTATCTCTGGCTGCAAACTTGGACTGGCCTTTGCATTAATTTGATGTGAAGAATGCATTTCTTCATGGAGATTTAGAGGAGGAGATCTATATGGAGCTTCCACCTGGATACAGATGCGCAGATAAGCCGAACATGGTCTGTAAGCTGGAAAGATCATTGTATGGGTTGAAGCAGTCCCCTCGTGCATGGTTTGGTCGCTTTAGCTCAGCTATGAAAAGGTATGGATACTCCCAAAGTAACTCAGATCATACTTTGTTCTTAAAAAGTGCTCAAGGAAGAATGACAGCTCTTATCATATATGTAGACGACATGATTATTACAGGCAATGATAGTGCAGAGATTATGAGACTGCAGGGATTATTATCAAGGGAGTTTGAGATGAAGAACTTGGGAGGTTTGAAATATTTCCTGGGAATCGAGGTTGCTAGGTCGAAGGAAGGGATTTACTTGTCTCAGCGGAAGTATGTTCTTGATCTTTTGACCGAAGTTGGCATGCTAGATTGCAAGCCTGCAAACACTCCTATGGTACAAAACTGTAAGCTTGGAGAGTACCCTGATCAGACGCCTACTAATAAAGAGAAATACCAAAGGTTAGTAGGTCGATTGATTTACTTATCACATACACGTCCTGATATTGCTCATGCAGTAAGTGTGGTGAGTCAGTTCATGCATGCACCTAGTGAGGATCATATGAGTGCTGTGTGGCGCATCATTCGATATTTGAAGTCAGCCCCAGGAAAGGGGTTGCTATTTGCAAAGAATGGCCACCTTGAAATAGAAGGTTACACAGATGCAGATTGGGCTGGAAGTGTGACAGACAGGAGGTCTACATCAGGGTATCTTACATTTGTGGGAGGCAACCTTGTTACATGGAGAAGTAAGAAACAAAAGGTTGTAGCTCGGTCTAGTGCAGAAGCTGAATTCATAGGTGTAGCAAAAGGGTTATGCGAACTTCTATGGCTTCGAAAGTTGCTAACTGAGCTCGGGTATCCACCAGGTTTGGAAATCAAATTGTTTTGTGATAATAAAGCAGCCATAAATATTGCTCATAATCCAGTTCAGCATGATAGAACCAAACATGTGGAGATTGACAAACATTTCATCAAAGAGAATTTGGAGGCAAAAGTGATCCAGTTACCATTTGTCAAGTCTGAAGACCAGTTAGCTGATATATTGACAAAGGCTCTGTCAAGTAGAGAATTTCATTGCTCACTTATCAAGTTGGGTATCAAAGATATCTTTGCACCTACTTGAGGGGGAGTGTGGTCGTGAGCTATTTTAGCCTATTTGTTAGGCATTTTTATTGTATAGATTTCTTCCTAGTATAGAATCCTTCCTATTGTATATCTCCTAATTAGGGTTGTCATATGTCCTATATATATAACAGGATTGAGCATTGTAAATGTACAGAAAACATATTCATTGAATAGAAAAAGGAGAGTCTTTTTCTACAAACAACACTGTTGTTGTTGGACTACTGCACCAGATAGGCCACCGAAATGCTTTTATTAGCGAGGTATGCAAAAATTTCTTATACAGAATAACTAGAATCAGTCCATGGGTATATTTGATCGAATGCGGGGATGAGCATGATTTGCTAATGTGCAGGTGTTGTGGTGTATAAGGTTCGAAACGTGTCGCGAAGAGATTGAAGTTGGGGAAGAGATAGAAGTAGGGGTGGTCGACCCAAAGGAGATCATCACGGGTGAACATAGTTACTACAGATACATGGGCTCCCTCACCACTCCTCCTTGCACTGAAGGTGTCATGTGGATCGTCAACAAACAGGTAAACCCTATAAGGTTTTCGATGTTCACCAGATCAGCAATGTTAAAGAGTGTAAATTCTAATGTCATAAGTATTTTCTAGACTAACCAGTACTCGTCAATGTTCACCAGGTCAGCAGTGTTAAAGAGGAACAAATCAAGTCGCTGAGACGTCTGGTCGGCAATGTAAGTGCCCCAAGTTTCTCGGCCGCGTAGTTCCATCGGAACCTTAACGGTTACATACCCAATTAAGCTCACGGCTACGACACGGTGTGCGTAATTTTCTCATGTTCAAAAGATAATTACTAATTGCAAGGTACCTGGAATAATGCTAGACCTATTCAAGCAGTGAATGGACGAGATATCCGGCTTTTTCACAAGTGCCAACGGGATGGAGTGAGAAGGATTGAATCGATGGTGTCTCTGCATATCAATGCTGCTGCAAGTTGAACTCGTCCTTTCGATAACGGTCTTCAGCTGATGAGTTTATGTCTGGTGTTAACCAGTTGAATAATGGTACGATAGGTTGCAAATAATGAAGTATAATCCAATGATGTAGCACATATAAACTGTCTTTGAGAACAGAGTGGGGTGCTTCACTTATGGATCTCATGTTCTTGAACGTGCGACATTTCGGATTCTTTTGTTAACAAGTGATCGGGAAATTATCAAAATAGTTCTAAATCTATTGAAATTGTGCTTGGCTAATTTATTTGAGAGTGCCTGGCGAATTTATTAGTGACCAAATCATATACGTTACAACAAATTAATTATCAGAACCATCAACCACATGTTGTTGCAACTGCAAAATCTCCTGGACGAAGCGAGCCAAGTTCAGACTCGAGCTCCCTCCTTCCTCCATTGCCTTCTTCGCCTTCTCCGCGAGCTCCTTGACCGTCCCCCTCCTCTGCCTCCCTTCATCCCCACGGCCCATCAACTACTCCACGCCCTCCTCCACTTCCTCTTTCCTCACCCTCGCCACCACCGCTCCCCCTACACCCCACCCCACCGGATCCTCCACCCCGAGGCCCACCCCGACCCCCGCCACCTCCACCACCAGCCTCTCGTTGCAGAAGTGGTCCCCGTACATGGGCCACGTCAGCAGCGGGGCCCCTGCGCAGATGGCCTCCAGCGTGGAGTTCCACCCGGCGTGGGTCAGGAACCCGCCGATCGAAGGTTGCGACAGGATGAGCGTCTGTGGTGCCCAGCCCCTGTATAGGAAACCTCGTCCCTGGATTCGCTCCTCGTACTTTTCCTCCGAGATCCTCCGCTCGAGATCTTGGAGCTGGCTTCCTCGGAGGACCCAAACGAACGGTCTCTTTGAGTCTTCGAGTCCCAACGCAAGCTCTTTCAGCTCTGGCGGTGTTAGGTTGCACAAGGTTCCTAGGCAAGCATAGACCACGGAGCTGGGCTCCTGCATGGATTCAATCCCATTTAATGATGACTTCCCCTACATTCTTCACCTAATTTATGAACTTTGACCTTATATTGATTTGAGACAATACTGGTCGTACAAAAATGAGCTAACATATATGTGCACGATTTTTCCTATTTAAATCCCTTTTGCCTAGTTGATGATTAGAACATACCGATTAAGTCATGTAAGCCTCATTTCTATTGTTCTTAATTATAGATTTAATTTCTCATCTATGCATGATTTTTCTGTCACGAAAGACTTCTTTTATTACACATGATAATCAATTCTTTGGTGCAAAGTAATTATGCAGTTTTGTTCGTATTCATATTCACGTTGAGTGATATGAGTATCACTTGTCTTCATTTGCATAAAATTAGTTTCTAATCAAAGTCTAAAGAATGGGGGAAACGGATGAGAAAAAATTAGAAAGATAGAGATAGTTTTTCTACTTTTTCTTTTCATCATTACCTGCGAGTCAAGCCATTGCAAGCACTTCTTTGAATCAACTGAAGCCTCGTTACTCCTCTGAGCCAGATCGAGATGGTCCTTATTACACAGACAAACCGGTCCAATGCACCAAACCCTGTTATCTCCTCTCACCTTCTTATACTCTTCAGCATATGCCGGTTCGAGTTCCTCAAAGCTATTCACGACCACTCCATAAGAGGCCAACTCGGCCATCATACACTTCTCGAAGAACTCCTCCAATCCTGGATGAGCCGACACCACTGGGAACTGCCGTTCCGTGAACTCTAGCCGATCCGGCAAGCCCGGAAGAACAAACTTCTCACAAGAACTTTTAGTGATATTGACTCCATCACTGTCATTCTTGAGGCTTCTAAAGCATTGCAAGCACAAGAGGCAAAGGCAAATTGTGGCGTAGAAAACAACCCTTGGAACGTTAAACTTCCGAGCGACGTCGAGGGTGTAGCACACGCACATGTCGGATATTATGCAGCTTGGCCTAGGAATCAGGTCATGGATGAGCTGCTCGACTCGTGGTTGAAGCATTTCGATGGCGTTGAACATCTTGAAAATCAAGTCTGGAGAAGGTAGCGTGTCAACAAGGTGGTGGCGATATTCTTTGGGTATTCCCGCGGCTTGGTATGGCAACTCTAGTTCCCTGAGGTGAATCTGGAGGCCAGAGCTTATGGAACAATCGAGGACAAGTTTGACACGAGCGGCAAATCCCGGGGTCATGACGAGGGTCACTATGAGTCCTCTTTGGGCTAGTAAGCGCGTGACATCAATCATCGGGATCATATGGCCTTGAGCCATGAGGGGGAAGAGAAGGAAGTGTCGTTGGGTTTGAGAGGCCATGGGATGAAAGGATAGAGAGGCGTGGGAATGGTGGTTTGGCTTCTTTCACCTGTGTCTTTTCTGTTGTTTCAAATGGGTGACACTGGCATTTAGGACTATTTATATTTGTTTTAGGGCTTTTCGACGGGAAACTATAAAAGGGATGTGTTGCATAACACATCTTTAATCCTAACCTCCACTTAATATCTCTTCTTTGTTCTTCATATCTTCTTATTAGATCCGTTGACCTTTTGGATTGTACTCTTATACTTGTTGTTAAGGATAGTGAAAGCCTTCTTTTACCTCTTGGTTTTTTTCTATCTTGGGTTTCCACCTAATAATTACTTGACCAAGCCCACAAATTGCGGGGATTATTTGTCAATAACTAATAATATCAAATTGATATATGGAATCCAATGTAGATTTCCTTTCACTGTATCCATCATTGAAATAAGACTGGGCAATGACTTTCTTAGTGGAGGATACGAATCAAATGAAATCTTCGTGGCCACAAAACCCAAAAAAGAATTAAATGAAATCTTTACCGTCTCCTGACATGCACTGCTACTATATGCTGCTTTACACTACACATAGCTGCGAAACTTACGCATGAAATTCTATTGTTTTGTATAAAATTTAAGACTTTCTTCCATGCTGGTAAATTTCAAACAGCATTGAAAGTGCCTAAATTCCTTGGTTAGGAAACTTTAAGTTACACTTCTTAGAGATGCGTTAGGTTTAATTACTCATTATAGAAATTACCAACCTTAGTTGGAGTGACTTACCAACTATTCTCGGAAAAACTTTACCAACTAATTTAGGTTACCAACTCTCAATTGAGTTATTTACCAGGTTTAAATTTCTTTTAATTTTTTTATAGCATTAATATCACGAAAAATCCCAGATGGGTACGCTTGCGACAAATTTACTCAAAACTAATTTTTTGACTACTAAAAACTCCAAACTGGTGCATTTATGATAAATTTACCTTCTGTTAAGTTGGATTAATACCACGAAAAATCAAAGATTGGTAAACATGTGACAAACGAAGGACTAAAATCCCAAACTAGTACACTCGTCAACTGTCACGTATCATCTAACTCATTATTTTGACAGTAAAATTTAACGGAAATTAACGGAAGGTAAATTTGTCACAAATGTACCGGTTTAGGGTTTTTTGCGGTCAAAAAATTAATTTAGGCTAAATTCATCACAGGTGTACCAATTTGAGGTTTTTCGTGATATTAACTCTTTTTTATAAATAATTATTAAAATATGAAATATATTATGCGTCGCACAATAAGATTTTAACTTTTTAGAGCAAATGATTGCGAAGTTAATTTCAAATTGGTATTGGAGTCAAAGATCTTGAGTTCAATTCCCCAAGCCTTTTTTACTAGTTTATGAATTTCATTTTCACTATATGGAATGACTTCAAAATTCTTTACCTCAAGATTTTAGAGGATTCAATTGAGGAGGGCGATGATAGTGGACATTGGCAGTGGGGAGGAGATAATTTTGTGGGGAACTTTAGGGGTGAAGAAGAGACGAAGATGAAGAGTTGCACGAGGAGGAGGAGGAGGAGAATATGGATTGAGTAGTGTTAAGGATAACAACGTATGACTCGTTCAAATTCAAAATATTTTGAATTAGTCCATTATAATCTAATGTAGTTATTAATGTAGTTATTACTATAACGGATTAATTCAAAATATTCTTATGTCATGTAGTTATTACTGTAGTTGTTATTGCAATAAACTAATTCAAAGTTTAAAATGTTTTGAATTGATCCATTTATATCTCATGTAATTCTGTAACAATTAGTAGATAAACTCTATAAATACAAACACTATCCTTGAGTTAAAGGATAAGCGAAACTCAAGCTCAAACTCAGAGTCTAATTCTTACATGATATTAGACGACCAATAAGATCTTTGGAAACACCTCTGCTATTTCTTCTTTCTCTTCCATTTTTCGACCTCTCCTATTCACATTGTCATCTCCCACCTCCACTCCGGCTATGCAACACCACCTTAGCCTAATTGTTTCCGTTGCTTCGCAGTCAGTCCTTAATGGGATATCTTGATGATACCATTAGTAATTGGATGCGTTGAGTCGAAAGTCGAGCATCGCGCACATGTTGGTCAAAGAATGGATATTATTGGAAGGAGTAAGAGACTCGGAGTTTAAGTTCGAAGTAAGTCAAGTCTCGAATTTGCTCGCCACATTAAGAATTGAACCGGAAATTCAAACTAAGATCAAGGCCTTACAATCTACGGACCAAGAGATTCAGAAGATTCTAGAGATGGACGCTACTAAGAGAAAACCGGACTTCCAAGTATCCGAGGATGGGATCTTGAAGTTCCGTGGACGATTGTGTGTGCCCGACGATGCAGAACTTAAGGAAGAGATTTTGACGGAAGCACATCGAAGTAATTATTGTATCCATCCGGGGAGTACGAAAATGTACAACAACTTGAGACAGTACTATTGGTGGAATGGCATGAAGGTGGACATAGCTAAGCACGTAGCTAAGTGTTTGACCTGCCAGCAGGTAAAAGCGCAACATTGTAAGCCTGGAGGATTGTTACGACCTTTGAAAATTCCAGAATGGAAATGAGAGCACGTGACTATGGATTTTGTAATGGGATTACCAAGAAGCCATAAGGGCCATGATTCCATTTGGGTGATTGTTGATAGATTGACAAAGTCAGCGTACTTCTTGGCAGTGCGA